GCAGTAGGTTTTGTCAGACATCAAGTAATTCAGAGCACAGAAAAAATTTAGAACTTTTTTGTTCAGGCTTGCAGATGTGTTGGATGGGGGAGAGAAGGGATGGAGGGTATCGGGACTGCCCCCTAAGTTTCTGGTCTGAGTGACAGTGAGTGAGGGTGTGGTTGGGTTTTTCATTTGGACTTCTCACCATGAGGCCCTCTGCAAATTGGGATGCACTTTCCCCACCCTTTTCCTCTCCAGGGGAGATTCAGAAAGAAATCTGCAGACACCTCTCTTTTAGGCTTCTGGGGAGAAAGGGGGGTTTTCACTGAGAGTCACACTAGGGAGAGACAGTAGTTAACAAATACTTTAATCAGCAAGCTAGTCAGAAAAACGTTGGTGATAAGTCTTTATATCTGGCTTTATTCCTTGATTCAGCTCAGTGGGCATTTAATGGGGGCTGACCAGATTGTGTTGAGGGTTAGGAATATGAGCAGAGTAAGACCTGGCCTCTGCCTTCTAGAGTTATAGTGTAGCAGAGGAAAATTGTACATAAGCAAATGCACTGCATCGTGAGAAATGCAGGGTAGAGCAGGGTGGGTTCAGTTTTGTGGGGCCTGATTTTTATACAGTGTGCAGGTCTTTTTAGAGAAAAGGAAGACAAAATTATGAGACCAAAATTAGGTACGGGGACTTGGAAGGATCCGTTGTGAAGGGGTGGGTGGCCTGAAATCCAGGCTTCACTCACATCGTGGCCAGGCCTCACGTGGAAGGGACGCCACCATGTGATTGATCAGGTGGAGAGGCTCAGAAGACAAGGCAAGAATGGACACAGTTTCAAAGGATAGAGTATTGGGACTTCAAACCCCTTAAGCTGTATTCTTAGATGACGAGTAGCTAGTTCATTTACCTGTTCCCCACTGCTGTGTGTTCAGCTTGTTTCCACTCTTGCTGAACACTGCATGATGCTAGGAATACCCTTCTAGAGAGAGCATTTTGCACGTGTGAATGTATCTCTAAGATAAATTCCTAGAAGTAAAATGGCCGAGTCAAAGGGTATATGCCTTTGTAATTCTTTTTTACTTTTTAAAAATTTTATTGTATTTAAATTCAATTAATTAACATATAATGTATTATTGGTTTCAGAGGTAGAGGTCAGTGATTCATCAGTCTTATAGAATACCCAGTACTCATCACATTACATGCCCTCCTTTATGTCCATCACTCAGTTACCCCCTCCCCCCACCTCCCCTCCAGCAACCCTGAGTTTGTTTCCTATGATTAAGAGTCTCTTATGGTTTGTCTCCCTCTCTGATTTCATCTTGTTTTATTTTTCCTCTCTTCCCCTGTGATCCTCTGTTTTATTTCTTAAATTCCACATATGAGTGAGATCATATGATAATTGTCTTTCTCTGATCGACTTACATTGCTCAGCATAATACCCTCTAGTTCCATCCACATCGTTGCAAATGGCAAGATTTCATTTTTTGATGGTTGAATAATATTCCATTGTGTGTGTATATTTATATATATACACACCACATTTTCTTTATCCATTCATCTGTCGATGGACATCTGGGCTCTTTCCATAGTTTGGCTGTTGTGGACGTTGCTATGAACATTGGGGTGCAGGTGCCCCTTTGGATCACTGCATTTGTATCTTTGGGGTAAATACCCAGTAGTGCAATTGCTGGATTGTAGGGTAGCTCTATTTTCAACTTTCTGAGGAACTTCCATACTGTTTTCCAGAGTGGCTGCACCAGCTTGCATTCCCACCAACAGTGTAGGAGGGTTCCCCTTTCTCCGCACCCCGCCAACATCTATCGTTTCCTGACTTGTTAATTTTAGCCATTCTGACTGATGTGAGGTGGTATCTCATTGTGGTTTTGTTTTATATTTCCCCGATGCTAAGTGATGTTGAGCATTTTTTCATGTGTCTGTTGGCCATTAGTATGTCTTCTTTGGAGAAATGTCTTTCATGTCTTCTGCCCTGCCTTTGTAATTCTGACAGACATTGCCAAATTATCTTCTCACTAGTGATGTGCAAGAGTGTGTGTTTCCCCATTTGCCCCAACACAGCGTGTTATGCACTGCTGTTATCTTTGCCCATCAGATATGTAAAAATAGTATCTCAGTGCAGTTGTAGCTCTGTTTATCTTATTGTGAATGAGTCTAAATATGTTTTCATTCAGAGCAGTTTATATTTCCTTTGCTGGGCACTCACACCAGCCCTATGTTGGCCAGATTACTACTGGATTGTTAGTTTTTCTCTTATTGATCTGTAATCACTCTTTATATATTAAAGAAACGAACACTTTGTGTCAAGTTGCGTATGTTTTTTCCTCAGTTTGTTCACTTCCTAGGACATTAAATTGGTCTTTGGAATAACGATAGCATTGGGAGGAATTGAAGGGCATATGTCATCTGCCTCAATTTCCCAGAAGGAAAAAGAATGTCATTCTAAGTAACATAACTTTCAACTGTCATAAAAGTTGCTGAGCAAATTATGAAGCATCAGTGTGGGTTCATTCAACAAATATATGTGGAGCACTTACTGGGTGCCAGATATTCTAGATTCTGAGATTATAATAATGACCAAAACCATCAAGATCATACTCTCATGGAGCTGACATACCAGTGAGGGAGATGCACTGTGAAAGTGTAAACAGAAAGAGAGATACCTTGAGGTAGTGATAAGTCTTAACAGAGGAGGTGAAATGGAGATAACAAAGAGAGGGGTGGTGGTGGCTGCTTTAGATTAGGTGGTTAAGGAGGGCATCTCTGAAGAGGTGATTTTTTTTTTTTTTTTTTTAAGAGAGAGAATGTGAGTGCCTGAGGAGGGGGGAACAAAGGGAGAGAGAGAATCTTTTTTTTTTTTTTAAGGATTTATTTAATTTTAGAGAGAGAGAGAGAGCACAAGCAGAAGGGGCAGAGGGAGAGGGAGAGACTCTTAAGCAGGCTCCACGCCCAGCATGGAGCCTGATGCGGGGCTCAATCTCATGACTCTGAGATCATGTCCTGAGCTGAAATCGAGAGTCAGACACTTAACTGACTGAGCCACCCAGGCGCCCCTGGTGAAGAGGTGATTTTACGTGAAGACCTGGTGACAAGAAGGGCCTAGGCAGGAGTATAAGAACTAGAACTGCTTGGCAGAGGGAACAGCATGTGCAAAGGCCCTGAGGTAGGAGTTGAGGTCAGGAAGACTAGCGCGGGCTTTGGTATGAAGGACCTTAGAGAGCAGGTAAGGGGTTTTGATTGTATTATTGTGGCTATGAGAAGCCACTGGAGTGTGTCTGTGTGTGTGTGTGTGTGGGTGTGTTTGTGTATAAGGGGGTTTTGCTTTTTCTTTTGGAAATGTTCAAACCTAAAAGTGGAGGGTATGATATAAGGAACTGTATGTGCCTTCACCTGCTCAGTAGACACCAACCTTTTGCCAATCCTGTTTCATCTATGCCCTTCACTTTTTTTGTGGAGAGGCTGGATGTTTTTTTCTCTCCCTCTGTCCCTGCTTCATTTCCCTTAAAAAAAATCTTTTCAGGGCGCCTGGGTGGCTCAGATGGTTAAGCGTCTGCCTTCGGCTCAGGTCATGATCCCAGGGTCCTGGGATCGAGTCCCGCATCAGGCTCCCTGCTCCTTGGGAGCCTGCTTCTCCCTCTGCCTCTCTCTCTCTCTCTCTCTCTGTCTCTCATGAATGAATGAATAAAATCTTTTAAAAAAAAAATCTTTTCATTGAAGTATAACAAATACTGTAAAGTGCACAAATCATAAATATACAGATCAGTGATGCTCACAAACTGAGCATACTCATGTAACTTGCAGCCAGATCAAGAACTGAATATGGCCAGCTCCCCAGGAGCCCCTGGGGATGCCTTCTAGCCTCTCCCTCCCCAAATGCAAATGGAACCATATAGGATGCTCTCTCTCATGTCTAGCTTCTTCCACATATCATGTCTGGGAAGTTTATTTTGCTGTGTGCCATTACAGAGTGTAGACTGCCCCTTCTCATTGCTGTAGCATTCCAGTGAATCAGTTTACTCACCCATTTCGATTCTGATGGGTACCTGGCCTTTCTTTGGGTTTGGGCCATTACAAATGGTTCTGCCGTGAACACTGTGGCACGTGTCTTTTGGTGAACATATGTACGCACTTACAGTGGCTAACACCCAGGCGGGAAATCGCTGGGTCATGAGACAGGTGTATGTTTGGCTTTAGTAAATAGTGCCTGTATTTGTTTTCTAGAGCTGCTATAACAACCAACCACCAACTCGCTGTCTTAAACAACAGAAATGTATTCTTTCACAGCTCTGGAAGCTATAAGTCTGAAGCCAGTGTGTTGGTAGGGTTGGGCATCTTCTCTCTGGGTCTCTTCACAGTGCCTTCCCTCTGTACATGTTTGTCTCTGTGTCCAAATTCCCTCTTACTAAATGGACACCCATCATATTGGATTAGGACCCTATCTTCAAATAAGGCCACTCTCTGGGGTTCTGGGGGGTTAGGATTCCTATATATCTTTTGAGGGGCCGACATAATTCAAACCATAACAGTGCCAAAGAATTTTCCAAAGTTGTTGAACCAATTTACTGTGCTGGAGTATTTTATTTTATTTTATTTTATTTTATTTTATTTTATTTTATTTTATTTTATTTTGCTGTGCTGGAGTATTTTAAAGCTAATTCCAGACATGGTATCGTTTGCCTCAAGTGTTTTAAGAGAAGGGAAGATTTGGTCTGATTTACATTTTTAAACGATACTATTTGTTCTGTGGGAATGTAAGACAAGGCAAATATTTCTTCAAGAAAGAGAAGGTAAATCAAGAGCGAGCCCTCCTGGGTCAGCCCAGATAGGATGCTCTGGTAGCCCAGGGTTGGGAGAAGCCTCCTGTGGGCCCTTACCTAAGGGAAGCCATTCACAGACCGTGCTCCATCCCTCCCCGCCCACTCTGTGGAACCCCTCAGGGCTCACACGGTGCAGAGGGAGCTGGGCCAGGACTCAGGCTTTCTGTCCATCCCCCTCCCTGCCAGGACATACAGCAGCTCCTCCAGCTTCAGCAGCTGGTGCTTGTGCCAGGCCACCACCTCCAGCCACCTGCTCAGTTCCTGCTGCCACAGGCCCAGCAGAGTCAGCCAGGTAAGGCCCCACCCACCCCATGGTCTCCCCTCCCCAAGGATGCTTCCACAGACCTCTCCGTCCTCCCTCACCCCGTGCAATCCCCTTGTCTCCCCAGGCCTGCTACCGACGCCAAATCTCTTCCAGCTACCTCAGCAAACCCAGGGAGCTCTTCTGACCTCCCAGCCCCGGGCCGGGCTGCCCACACAGGTGAGAATGTCCACTGATATGCCAGGCTGGGTGAAGGGGGGGTGGGAGGGTGAGGGTCTCTGCTCCCTTCAACCCTCCCCATGACCACAGGGGCCAGAATAGGAGTCGGGAGACCTGGGGACCAGCCCTGCTCTGCCACTGATTTGCTATGGGACCTTAGACAAGCCACTCTCCCTGTCTGGGTCAGCTTCTTCCTCTGTAGAAGGAGGGGAATCAGCCAGGCCAGGGGCTCTTAACCCTTTCAGACACATGGACTCCTTTGAGAATCTGACGAAAGATTTTTTTTTTTTTAAAGATTTTATTTATTTATTTGAGAGAGAGAGAGAGAGAGCATGAGAGGGTGGAGGGTCAGAAGGAGAAGCAGACTCCCCGCTGAGCAGGGAGCCCGATGTGGGACTCGATCCCAGGACTCCTGGATCATGACTTGAGCCGAAGGCAGTTGCTCAACCAACTGAGCCACCCAGGCGCCCCTGACGAAAGATTTTGATCTGACCCCTGCTACCCCAAAATGCACATGTGCAAAAAACCTATAGGTTGTGGCCTGGCCTTTCTTTCAGTTTGCTGACTGGGTTCTAGACTTCAATAATAATCTTTCATGATTCTTTATGGATTTTGACGTTCCTTCCTACCCACTTTTTTTTAACAGCCCTTTCAAAAAATATGAACTATTTAACCCAAAAAGTTTAGAGACTAATACAGGGCTGAGCTGAATTCTGAAATCCAAAATGCTTGGAAAACCAAGTTGTTTTTGTAATGTGAGACCAGAAGTCATGTGGCTGCAAAACCTGTCTTGACCTAAGGCAAGGAGTATGACTTTCCTTTCTCCCTCCCATGTGATATTTGTGCTTTGCTGAGAGCTGTTAATGTGTTCAGTGATGGGGTGATGCCTCGACCCTGATGGGGGGAGTCACATTATTTGTGACCTGTGTAGGCTTTCTAAAATCTGTAAAATTTCTGAATTCCAAAACCCATCTGGCCCCAGCATTTGGATAATGGATCAAGGACTTATGTGACCAACATGGTTGCACTCACCACCTGTTTCAGATATTTTTAGGGAAATAAAGCAATTCAGAGAGACCTGTTGCTTCTTTGTAAATCCCCCAGGCACCCTCCTCCTCTACTTTTAAAAATGCTTTCACTTTATCTGCAACCTTTCACGGGATTCTCCCATCAACCCCATGGGGTGGGCAGAGCAACCATGATTGTTTCCATTCTGCAGAGGGGAAAACTGAGGCCCAGGGGGATTAAGAAACTTGCCTGAGTTACCCAACAATTCGGTAGCAGAGCCACTCATTAATTCCCTGCCTGAGAGAAGGATAAAACCATGGCCCCCAGCTCCAGGGAAAAAACCGATGGTTGAAAGGAGCTGGCTACTCCTGGGAGTTTGCAGGCTGGGAGGGAATGTGCAGGGAGAGAGTTGGGGGCAGTGAGAGGTCCCTGTGGAGCAGCAGAGTGTCCCCTTGATGGGGACTGACAATGAGTGCCCATCAGCCTCCTGGGGACAGGTAGAGAGGAGAGCCTGCAGGAAGAGGTGGGATGGCAGAGAGGGAAGGAGGGAGGGAGGACTGCGCAGCCATTGCTGAGCCCCATCCTGGTCCTCGATCCTGCACCCCACCCACCCCTGCCCACCTTACCAGGCCGTGACCCGCCCCACGCTGCCCGACCCGCACCTCTCGCACCCGCAGCCCCCCAAATGCTTGGAGCCACCATCCCACCCCGAGGAGCCCAGTGACCTGGAGGAGCTGGAGCAGTTCGCCCGCACCTTCAAGCAACGCCGCATCAAGCTGGGCTTCACACAGGTCTGGGGCCACCCAGCAGCACGGGCGGTGGGCCTGAGGGTGACGCGGCTTGGCCAGGTGGTGGGCGGGGCGCGGGCTCCCTCTCCCCAGCACGGGGCAGTGGGCGTGGCCAAGTGGTGGGCGGGGCGAGAGCCCGCAGCCGGCCGGTGGGCGGGGCCAGGGGTGTGGCCAGCCGGTGGACCGGGGTGAGCCCCGCGCCCTGACCACCGCCCCATTCCCCACCCCACTCGGCCAGGGTGATGTGGGCCTGGCCATGGGCAAGCTCTACGGCAACGACTTTAGCCAGACGACCATCTCCCGTTTCGAGGCCCTCAACCTGAGCTTCAAGAACATGTGCAAACTCAAGCCCCTCCTGGAGAAGTGGCTCAACGACGCAGGTGGGACTGGGCCGGGGCTCCCAGGGCGGGCGGCCGGTGGTGGGACCCGGAGGCTCCCTCTCATGCCCCCATCTCCTCCCGGGCACAGAGACTATGTCTGTGGACTCAAGCCTGCCCAGCCCCAACCAGCTGAGCAGCCCCAGCCTGGGCTTCGACGGGCTCCCTGGCCGGAGACGCAAGAAGAGGACCAGCATCGAGACAAACGTCCGCTTCGCCTTAGAGAAGAGTTTTCTAGCGGTGAGGCCGCGGCCTTCTGGGAGGCTCTGAGGTGGGGGGTCGGGGTGGAACTGGGGTTCACCAGCCCTCTGCCCGCAGAACCAGAAGCCTACCTCAGAGGAGATCCTGCTGATTGCAGAGCAGCTGCACATGGAGAAGGAAGTGATCCGCGTCTGGTTCTGCAACCGGCGCCAGAAGGAAAAACGCATCAACCCCTGCAGCGCAGCCCCCATGTTGCCCAGCCCGGGGAAGCCAGCCAGCTACAGCCCCCATCTGGTACCAGGAGCCCCTCTGGGGGTGGGGGGCATAAAGCTCTGGCAACACCCCACCCCTAGGCAGGTGCCTCTGTGAAGCACAGTCTACTTGGTTGTCCACAGTGCCTGGCACAGGGGCAGGGCGACTCACCCTTGGGGACAGGCTGTCACCAGGTTGGAGCACAGTCACATGGGGACACAATTTCCAGGGAACTGTGGTCTTATGTGGGGGATACAAGCACCCACAGACACATACCAACAGAGCCAAAAATAGTTCTCACAGTGCATGGCCACATGGGGAGAGATCCCAGGTAGGGGATGGAGGTACCCCCCTGTACACACACACACGGGTTCACAGCCACACACACAGACACAGGCAGGGACAGCGTTATGTCCCTGGGTGTACATTCAGGTTCACAGCTGCACGCAGACCTGCTTGGGATCAGACGCACTGGGACACCCCTTTATTGCATCTCATGTGGAAAGGGGCTGTGACGTGACAGAGAGGAGGCCCCGAGGCCCCTGGTATGGAGGAAGAAGAGACCACCTGAGCTGAGTTCTAAAGGACAAGGGAGAGGTAGCCAGCCACTTAAAGACTGCCGTGCCCAAAGGCCTAGAAGCCGGAATGTGCTGAGCCCAATCAGAGGAACTCCAGTGCAATTTAAATGTGGTTGGAGCAGGAATGTATATGAATGAGTAGGAGGGTAGGGGCTGGGCAGGGGCCAGACTCTCAAGTAACATGCTGAGGAGCTTGCACGTGAACCACGGGCAGTGAGGAGCTAAGGAGGAGTTTTGAGCTGGGGAGGGACAGGGTCACATTAAGAGTGAGGCTATTGGAGCTGATGGAGGCAGGGAGGCCAAGAAGGAGGCTGGTGGGTGGTCCCAGAAAATCAAGCAATAGGACATTCCAACACTCTGATGCAGAGACGCCCCTTATCATCATAATACTCCCCCCTCCACACACACGCTTTAGCCCTGCAACTGGATGGTGTCAGAGAGGTGGGAGAACACTCTCAATTAGGAATTACTTTTTCCCACCTATGGTTCAGGATCACTTTGGGTAAATGTTAACGTAGATACGATGGAAAGAACCTAGCATAATACAAGCATAGCATTGTGCCCAAAGTCCCTTCTCCCCTCAGCCTGAGGGCAGATGAATGGGGGTCTTACCCACAGGGAGCATCATGGGGGCTACTGGGAAACAGTGGCCTCACCATGCCTTCTTTCCTCTCTCCCCAGGTCACACCCCAAGGGGGCGCCGGGACCTTGCCATTGTCCCAAGCTTCCAGCAGTCTGAGCACAACAGGTCAGGGCGGGCAGGAGCCCGTGAGGGGGCTTTGGGAGGCCCAGTACAGGCCTGAGGTTCTCTAGTGGCTTAGGGCATCTGTGGGCCTCAAGGCTGAGCCTGGGGATGAGGGAGGCAGGGGGCACAGAGAGGAGAGGGCAGCCTCACCCGTCCCTGCCAGAGCAGCTCAGCTCTCATCTGCTCTACGATTTCCTATGAGAAAAGCATGGGCTTTGCTAAAAGTTGATGTACTCGGGTTCTGGTCCTGGCTTTTATAAACTGTGTGAGCTCCAGGAGTGACTTTACCTCTCTGAGCCTCAGGTTTTATAAAATTATTGTGAATGTATAATACATACAAAAGCTATATATGTGAACATATACATACAAGAGTGTGTATGTCTGTGTAACCCCCCAACACACAAACACACACATACATGCTCTTTTGTGCCCAAAGGTCCCCTTGCTCCCTTCCTGGGACAGGGCCTGTGTAACACCACATATAAGAATAATAGAAAACTGGAGCCTGGCTGGCTCAGTCAGTGGAGTATGTGGCTCCTGATCTTGGGGTTGTGAGTTCGAGCCCTACATTGGGTGTAGAGATTACCGAAATAAATAAACTAAAAAAAAAACAAAAAACACAAAGAATAGAAAACAAACATGATATTGATTTTTCTCAGATTAAGAGATAAGACGTGGAAGCTTATAAAGTTATAAGTGTGTGCCTGGCACTGTCTAAACTCTTTATGAAGAATATCGACTCATCCTCACACTCATTTTATAAAGTAGGCCCTGTTATTATCCCCATTTTCCAGATTAGGCAACTGAAGGCCAGAGAGGTGAAGGTGCTCGCCTAAGGGCACAGATGGGGCGGAACAGGCAGGAAATTGCTGCCCGTGGCTGTCTGGCCGTCCGGCCGCTGAGTCCTCTCCACCTCGGTGCTCACAGCCGCAACCCCCTGCCTGGCCCCTAGAGGGAGCCACAGGGCGAAGTCTTAGCGGCGCCGGGCGCTGAGGCTCAGGGCCGGGTTGGCGCCGTGTGAGCGCACCCGGGCACGGGGCTCGGCTCCGGGGGTGGGAGCTGCGCACGCTGCCAGTATTGTGATCGCCGTCACGGCGGCCGTGGGAAGAGCCGGCGGGAGGCCTGAGTCTGTTCCCCCGGAGGAGATGCCACAGGGCGCGCGCCGGGCGGGAAGGCGAGCAGGGGTGGACCCCGGGTTCCCCGGTGGAGGACGAGTGGAAGCTGAAGTCTCCGTCTCTCTGTCTCTCTCTGGCAGTTACTACCTTATCCTCAGCTGTGGGGACGCTCCACCCCAGCCGGACAGCCGGAGCGGGTGGGGGCGGGGGCGGGGCCGCGCCCCCCCTCAATTCCATCCCCTCTGTTACTCCCCCACCCCCGGCCACCACCAACAGCACAAATCCCAGCCCTCAAGGCAGCCACTCGGCTATCGGCTTGTCGGGCCTGAACCCCAGCACGGGGTAAGTGGACAGTTGCACTTAGGGAGGCTGTGGGGAGAGAAGCAGGGTCGCCGCTGCTTCCCGGGTGGGAGCCGCGCCCCAGTTCTGCCGCCGGCGGGTCCCTGCCCCTGCTAACGCCTCTGCTTTGCCTCTTGCAGAAGCACAATGGTGGGGTTGAGCTCCGGGCTGAGTCCAGCCCTCATGAGCAACAACCCTTTGGCCACTATCCAAGGTGCGTGCTGCCTCATGTCACTCCCATCGCCACCAGCCTGGCCCCCTGGGGCCTCGAGCCTCCCCCCATTGCTGCTCCAGCCATGCCATCCTGCCCCGCTCACTGCATCGCTCGCCTCTTCATACCCATTTCTCCTTTGGGGAAGGTGTGAGGGCTGCTGATGGGGGTCAGTGGGGCCGATGGGAAGACAGGGGGCACTGCGGGCAGGATGCTGGAAGGTGCCCCCAGCCCAGCCCCTCTCTCTCTCCCCACCAGCCCTGGCCTCTGGTGGAACCCTGCCCCTTACCAGCCTTGACGGCAGCGGGAACCTGGTGCTGGGGGCAGCCAGCGCGGCTCCGGGGAGCCCCGGCCTGGTGACCTCACCGCTCTTCTTGAACCACGCCGGGCTGCCCCTGCTCAGCGCCCCGCCGGGCGTGGGCCTGGTCTCGGCAGCCGCTGCGGCCGTGGCGGCCTCCATCTCCAGCAAGTCTCCGGGCCTCTCCTCCTCCTCCTCCTCCTCCTCCTCCTCCTCCTCCTCGTCCTCCACTTGCAGCGAGGCGGCAGCACAGACCCCTGGAGGCCCCGGGGGGCCCGAGGCAGGGTGCAAGCCCGAGTGAGGGCCCGCCTTGCCTCCCCTCCTACTCCTCCGACCCCCACCTCAGTCCCCCCCACCCCCCGCCTGGGAAGAGGGCGAGGAGGCCAGCAGTGGTGGTGCAGAGGGTCCTTGGAGCCGGAGTGACAAGGGAGGAAAGACCAAAAAAAAACCCCAACTAACCAAAAAAACAAAACAAACAAACAAACAAAAAAAACAAGAAAGAAAGAAAAAGAAAGAAAGAAAGAAAATGAAAGAAACCAACCAACAAAAAGAAACCAAAAATAATCACAACAGAAACCAGCTGCCCCAAAGGAACCAGAGGTGGAAAACAAACAAAAACCAAAACCAAAAACAAAAAAAATCCCCCGCAAAACCAAACCAAAAACCAGTTGCGAGCCAGACCTCAGTGTGCTCACCCTCACTGCTACGACACCAAATAAGAACCCCAGCCAGGGGCAGAGAAGCCTCGGCAGGGCGGACCTCTCGCCGAGCTTCTGGCTGGGGGGACCAACCCCCAACCTTGCCTCCCCCAGTGGGGGCCAGAGAAGGCAAAAGAGAATGTGCCAGCCTCCAGCCCCAGCCCCCAGCCCTGGGCCAGCGAAGACAGGGCACAGGCTGGGGCCGACAGGGTGGGCTCAGAACCACCCGCCAAATGTTCTTTTCCAGAAGGTGAAAGAGAAGGGGCCTGAACAACCTTACACCAAATATTCAGTAGCTTCATCCAAAGGATGTACAGAATTTTTAGCGTTACGCTCGACAGAATGTGTCCCTACCATGTGTCCCCCTCTCCCTTGGCCCCCGGCTCTCCCCACCTGGGCAAGGGGTCTCGCTTTAACCTCCTCCCTCCCCCAGCCAGGGGAGAGTGCAGGGGCAGGCCTGGGATGACTTTTCACCCCTCGTACCTCCCCCTTTTCCCTTTGAAGGGTGGGCTAGGCCGGTTTGTGAAGTTCTAGCTCTCACATGTTCCCCCCCCCACAACCCCGTCACCCTCCTCTGCTCTGGAATCCACCCCCTCCCCGGCCCAGGGGAAGGTGGAAGTTTCGGGCAAGAGGGATGAGGTGAGGGTATTCAAGTTGTCTTTTTTCCCATCCTCGTCTGTCAGTTTCCCTGAAAAAAAAAATTCATATTCCAGTGCCTATCCGTGGGATCCTTCACGTTCTTTGACATTGACCAGAAACCAAAAAGAGAACTCACCTCGCTCTTCCCACCCTGTGTCCCTCTGATACTGGCAGATGCCTCTTCCTCCCCCCCCCGACACACATGTACACATGCACGCACCCCAGTGGTGGGGTTCCTCAAGGTGGCATCCCCATCAGGGTCCATGTGGCGGGGACAGTGCCATGACCTGTGGTCCCCATCTGAGAGGGCACTGTGGTGGCCACCACCCCCACGAGACCTCCCTCGAGTCTTGGCTGGACCCCATGTTTGCCCAGCCCTGGACCCGACTCAATGGACAGAGGAGAGACGCCGCTGGGAGCCACTTTGCCCTCCTGCTATTGTGGAGGCCAACAAAGTTTTGAACCAAAAAAAAAAAAACAAAAAAAACAAAACACAAAAAACAAAAAACAAAAAAACCAAACAAACAATAAATTAAAACTAGAAAAAAAAAAGAATTTATAGATATATATATATATTTAAGGGAAAGAAGACAAGGACTCTTCAAGAATAAGAAGGAGCCGCGAGGTGGAGCCAAGCCCCTGCGCCAGTGGTCCAGGCCCTTGGTCCCCAAGGCGGATGGAAGGACAGACGCTTCTTTCTCTTCACAAATACCTCATGGACGTCGTCTTCGGGAAAGCCGGAGGGGGAGGCTGGGGCAGGGCCTGTCCCTCAGCCAGGGCGGATGGAAGCGGGTGGGCAGGGCGGAGAGAGGGGGGTCAGGGACAGGGGTGGAGAGCCCCAAGCTCCCTACCCCCCAATCCATTGAAAAAGCTTTAAAAAAAAAAAAAAAAAACGAAACAGGAAACAAGGAATAAGAAAGCAAAAAGAATGGACGAAGGAAAACGAACAAACTTTCGGGTGGTTTGATTCC